CCTGTCATATTTCATTCTTCTGGACGGGTTTCCCTGTCATATTTCATTATTCTGGACGGGTTTCCTTCTCACATTTCATTGTTCTTTAGGGGTTTCGTTCTAATATTTCCTTGTTCTTTACGGGTTTCCTTCTCATATTTCCTTGTTCTGGACGGGTTTCCTTCTCATATTTCCTTGTTCTGGACGGGTTTCCTTCTCATATTTCATTGTTCTGGACGGGTTTTCCTGCGCATTTATCATTGTTCAGGTCGGCGTTTCCCTGTCTTATGTCATTGTTTTGGACGGGTTTCCCTGTCGTATTTCATTGTTCTGGACGGGTTTCCCTGTCATATTTCATTGTTTTGGAACGGTTTCCCTGTCATATTTCGATGTTCTGGACGCGTTTCCCTCTCATATCTCATTGTTCTGGACGGGTTTCCCTCCCATGTTTCATTGTTCTGGACGGGTTTCCTTCTCATATTTCAATGTTCTGACGGGTTTTCCATCTCATATTTCGTTATTCGGGGACGTGGTTTCGCGGCCATATTTCATTGTTCTGGACAGGTTTCCTTCTCATATTTCATTGTTCTTGAGGGGTTTCGTTCTAATATTTCGTTGTTCTTTACGGGTTTCGTTCTCGTATTTCCGTGTTCTGGAAGGGGTTTCCTTCCATTTTTCTTGTTTCTTTACGGTTTCCTTCTCATAATTTTCCTTGTTCTGGACGGGTTTCCTTCTCATTATTCATTTTTCTGGAAGGGTTTGCTTCTCATATTTCATTGTTCTGGACGGGTTTTCCTGTCATATTTCATCGTTCTGGAGGGGTTTGCCTTTCATATATTAATGTTTTGGTGGGTTTCCCTCTCTATATATCATGGGTTCTGGACAGGGTTTCCCTCTCTTTTTTCACTGTATTGTACGGTTTCCCTGTCATATGTCATTGTTTATGGACGGTTTCCCTGTCTATTTCATTGCTCTGTAGGGTTTCCTGTCTTATTTCATTGTTATGGACGGGTTTCACTCCATATTTCTTGTTCTTGGACTGGTTGCACTGTCAAATTTCGTGTGCCTGAGGGTTTCCTTCTCATATTTCCTAGTTCTTATCGGGTTTTCCTTTTCATATTTCATTGTTCTTGGACGGAGTTTCACTTCTCTATTCTTTGTTCTTGAGGGGTTTCCTGTATATTTCATTGTTCTGGACCGGTTTTCCCTGGACATATTTCGGTTGTTCTGGATGCGTGTTCCCTCTCATGTTTCATTGTTCGTGACGGGTTCCCTGTTAGTATTTCATTGTTTGGACGGTTTCCCTGTTCATATTTCATTGTTTCTTGACGGTTTCCATTCTTCATATTTCGTGTTCTGGACGGGTTTTCCCTTTGTATATTCATTCTTCTGGACGGGTTTCCCTGTCATATTTCATTATTCTGGACGGGTTTCCTTCTCACATTTCATTGTTCTTTAGGGGTTTCGTTCTAATATTTCCTTGTTCTTTACGGGTTTCCTTCTCATATTTCCTTGTTCTGGACGGGTTTCCTTCTCATATTTCTTGTTCTGGACGGGTGTCCATCTTTTATTTCATTGTTCTGGACGGGTTTTCCTGTCATATATCATTGTTCTGGACGGGTTTCCCTGTCATATATCATTGTTTTGGACGGGTTTCCCTGTCGTATTTCATTGTTCTGGACGGGTTTCCCTGTCATATTTTCAATTGTTTTTGGAACGGGTTTCCTGTCATATTACGATGTTCTGTAGAACGTGTTTCCCTCTCATATCTCATTGTTCTGGAGGGTTTCCCCATGTTTCATTGTTCTGGACGGGTTTCCTTTCAATTTCAATTGTTCTGGACGGTGTTTTCCTTCTAATATTTCGTTATTCTGGACGGGTTTCGGCGGCCATATTATTGTTTCTGGACAGGTTTCCTTCTCATATTTCATTGTTCTTGAAGGGGGGTTTCGTTTCTAATTTTCGTTGTTCCTTAAACGGGTTTCGTTTTCTCGTATGTCCTTGTCTGGACAGGGGTTTTCCTTACATTTTTTCCTTGTTCTTTACTTGTTTCCTTATCATATTTCCTTGTTCTGGACGGGTTTCCTCTCATATTTCATTTTTCTGATGGGTTCTGCTTCTTCATAGTTCATTGTTCTGTCGGGTTTTCCTGTCATATTTCATCGTTCTGGACCGGTTTGCCTTTTCATTTATTATTGTTTGGACGGGTTTCCCTCCTCATATATCATGGTTCTGGGACGGGGTTTCCTCTCCTTTTTCTAGGTATGTACGGTTTTCCCTGTCATATTTCATTTTGTTCTGACGGTTTCCCTGTCATATTTCATTGCTCTCTGGACGGGTTTCCGTGTTCATATTTCATTGTTCTGGACGGGTGTTTCCCTGTCATATTTCATTGTTCTGGAAGGGATTCTTGTCATATTCATAGTTCTGGGGACGGTTTTCCCTGTATTTTCATTCTTCTGGTACGGTTTTCCCTCTCTTTCTTCATTTGTTCTGGACTGGTTTCCTTCTAATATTTCATTGTTCTGGACGGGTTTCCCTCCTCATATTTCCATGGTTCCTGGACTTTTTTTTGGTTTGCCCTTCTCATAATTTCGTTGTTTTGGACGGGGTTTCCCTGTCATATTTTTATTGTTCTGGACGTGGTTTCACTTCCAAATTTGATGTTTTTCATTGTTCTGGATGGTTTCCCTGTCATTAATTCATTGTTTTCTGGTCGGGTTTCCTACTCATTTTTCTTTGTTCTTGAAGGGTTTCGTTCTCAAATTTTCATTGTTCTCTTAGGCGGTTTCTTTCTCATATTTCCTTGTTCTCAACGGGTTTCCTTCTCATATTTCCTTGTTCTGGACGGGTTTCCTTCTCATATTTCATTGTTCTGGATGGATTTCCCTGTCATATTTCATTCTTCTAGACGGGTTTCCCTGTCATATTTCATTCATCTGGACGGGTTTCCCTCTCATACTTCATTGCTCTGGACTGCCTCGACGGCCGGTGAGTATCCTTTTTCGTCTTTTCCAGGTCCAGGAGTCCACCTGTATCCCCTCAGGCATTCTCCCTTCCCCACTTCCCCGGGGGTCCGCCTCGACGGCCGGTGAGTATCCTTTTTCGTCTCTCCCAGGTCCAGGAGTCCACCTGTGTCCCCTCAGGCATTCTCCATTCCCCACTTCCCCGGGGTCTGCCTCGACGGCCGGTGAGTATCCTTTTTCGTCTCTCCCAGGTCCAGGAGTCCACCTGTGTCCCCTCAGGCATTCTACATTCCCCACTTCCCCGGGGGTCTGCCTCGACGGCCTGTGAGTTCCTTTTTTCGTCTCTCCCCAGGTCCAGGAGTCCGCCGGTGTCCCCCTCAGGCATTCCCTTCCCCATTCCCCGGGGTCTGCCTCGACGGCCGGTGAGTATCCTTTTTCGTCTCTCCCAGGCCCAGGAGTCCGCCTGTGTCCCCTCAGGCATCCTCAATTCCCCACTTCCCCACTTCCCCAGGGTCTGCCTCGACGGCCGGTGAGTATCCTTTTTCGTCTCTCCCAGGTCAGGAGTCCGCCTGTGTCCCCTCAGGCATCCTCCCTTCCCCACTTCCCAGGGGTCTGCATCGTCGGCCGGTGAGGTATCTTTTTCGTCTCTCCAGGTCAAGGGAGTCCGCCTGTGTCCCCTAGGCATCCTCCCTTCACCCTCTTCCCCAGGTTCTGCTCGACGGCCTGGTGTGTATGTTTTTCGTCTCTCCCCAGTTCCAGGTGTCCGCCTGTTCCCCTCAGATCCTCCCTTCCCCACTTCCCCCAGGGTTTTTTCTGCCTCGACGGCCGGGTGAGTATCCTTTTTCGTCTCTCCCATGGTCGAGGACTCCGCCTGTGTCCCCTCAGGCAATCCTCCCTTCCCACTTCCCCAGAGTCTTGCCTCGAGGCCGTGAGGTATCCTTTTTGTTTCTCACCCAGGTCCAGGGTCTCCGCCTGTGACCCCTTAGGCATCTCCCGTACCCATTCCCAAGAGTCTGCCTCGACGCGGCCGGTGAGTATTATTTTTTTCGTCTCTCCCCGGTCCAGGACTCCGCCTGTGTCCCCTCAGGCATCCTCCCTTCCCCACTTCCCCAGTTGTCTGCCTCGACGCGACCGGTGAGTATCCTTTTTCGTCTTCACCCAGGTCAGGACTCCCTGTGTCCCCTTCAGGCATCCCTTCCTTCCCCATACTTCCCCAGAGTCTGCCTCGACGGCCGGTGATGTATCCTTTTGCGTCTCTCCCAGGTCAGGGACTCCGCCTGTGTCCCCTTCGGCATTTCCTCCCTTCCCCACTTCCCAGAGTCTGCCTCGGACGGCGTGTGTGTTCCTTTTTCGTCTGCCTGGTCCGCGTGGTCCAGGACTCCGCCTGTGTTCCCTCAGGCATCCTCCTCTCCCCCTTCCCCAGGTCTGCCGCGACGGCCGGTGAATATCCTTTTTCGTCTCCCCCTGGTCCGCGTGTCCTGGGACTCGTCCCTGGTGTCCCACACACCCATCCTCCCTTCCCTAATGCCCCCAGGGTCTGCCTCGACGGGCCGGTGGAGTATCCTTTTCGTCTCTCACAGGTCCGCGTGTTTCCCCCCCCAGGTCTCCGCTGTGTTCCCCTTCAGGCATCATCCCTTCCCCATTCCCCAGGTCGGCCTCGACGCGGTGATGTATCCTTTTGCGTCTACCCCAGGTCCGCGTGTCAGGAGTCCGCCTGTGTCCCCTCATGCATTCCTCCCCCACTTCCCAGGGTCTGCCTCGACGGCCGGTGAGTATCGTTTTCGTCTCTCCCAGGTCCGCGCAGTGTCCAGGAATCCGCCTGTGTCCCTTCAGGCTCCTTCCTTCCCACTTCCCCAGGGTCTGCCTCGACGGCGGTGTGTTCCTTTTTCGTCTCTCCCAGGTCCCGCGTGGTCCAGGTGTCCGCTGTGCGCTCAGGTATCCTCCCGTCCCACTTCCCCAGGGTTGCCTAGACAACCTGTGAGTATCTTTTCGTCTCTCCCAGGTCCGCGTGTGTATAGGAGTCCGCCTTGTTAGTTCCCTCAGGCATCTCCTTTTCCCACTTCCCCAGGGTCTGCCTCGACAACCAGTGAGTATCCTTTTTCGTCTCTCCCAGGTCCGCGTGTCCAGGAGTCCGCCTGTGTCCCCTCAGGCATCCTCCCTTCCCCACTTTTCCCCAGGTTTGCCTCGAAACGTGTGTATTCCTTTTTCGTCTCTCCAGGTCCGTGTGTCCAGGAGTCCGCCTGTGTTCCCTCAGGTATCCTCCCTTCCCCAGGGTCTGCCTCGACAACCTATGAGTATCCTTTTTCGTCTCTCCCAGGTCCGTGTGTCCAGGAGTCCGCCTGTGTCCCCTCAGGCATCCTCCCTTCCCCAGGGTCTGCCTCGACAACCAGTGAGTATCCTTTTTCGTCTCTCCCATGTCCGCGTGTCCAGGACTCCGTCTGTGTCCCCTCAGGCATCCTCCCTTCCCCACTTCCCCAGAGTCTGCCTCGACGGCCGGTGAGTATCATTTTTCGTCTCTCCCAGGTCCAGGACTCCGCCTGGGTCCCCTCAGGGCAGCCTCCCTTCCCCACATCCTAGAGGTGCCTCGACGGCGTCGTGGAGTATCCTTTTTCGTCTCTCCCAGGTCCAGGACTCCGCCTGTGTCCCCTCAGGCATCCTCCCTTCCCCACTTCCCCAGAGTCTGCCTCGACGGCCGGTGAGTATCCTTTTTCGTCTCTCCCAGGTCCGCGTGTCCAGGACTCCGCCTGTGTCCCCTCAGGCATCCTCCCTTCCCCACTTCCCCAGGGTCTGCCTCGACGGCCGGTGAGTATCTTTTTTGTCTCACCCCAGGTCGCGTGTCCAGGACTCCGCCTGTGTCCCCCACAGGCATCCTCCCTTCCCCACTTCCCCAGGGTCTGCCTCGACGCGGTCCGGTGAGTATCTTTTTCGTCTATCCCAGGTCCGCGGGTCAGGACTTCCGCCTGTGTCCCCAACAGGCATCGCCCTTCCCCACTTCCCCCAGGGTCTGCATCGACGGCCGGTGAGTATTATCTTTTTCGTCTCCCGGGTCCGCGTGTCCTGGAGTCCGCCTGTGTCCCCTCATGCTTTCCGCCACCACTTCCCCAGGGGTCTGCCCGACGGCCGGTGAGTATCCCTTTTTCGTCTCTCCCAGGTCCGCGGGTCCAGGAATCCGCCTGTGTCCCCTCAGCAATCCTTCCTTCCCACTTCCCAGGGTCTGCCTCGACGGCGGTGGAGTTCCTTTTTTCGTCTCTCCCAGGTCCGCGTGTCCAGGAGTCCGCCTGTGTCCCTCAGGCATCCGCCCTTCCCATTCCCCGGGTCTCAGCCTCGACAACCAGTGAGTATCCTTTTTCTCTCTCCCAGGTCCGCGTGTATAGGGAGTCGCCTGTGTCCTAAGGCATCCTCCTTCCCACTTCCCAGGGGTTCTTGCCCTCGACAACCAGTGAGTATCCTTTTTCGTCTCTCCCAGGTCCGCGTGTCCAGGAGTCCGCCTGTGTTCCCTCAGGTTTCCTCTCTTCCCCAGGGTCTGCCTCGACAACCTATGAGTATCCTTTTTCGTCTCTTCCAGGTCCGCGTTGTCCAGGAGTCGCTGTGTCCCCTCAGGCCCTCCCTTCCCCACTTCCCCAGGGTCTGCCTCGACAACCAGTGAGTATCCTTTTTCGTCTCTCCCAGGTCCGCGTGTCCAGGAGTCCGCCTGTGTCCCCTCAGGCATCCTCCCTTCCCCAGGGTCTGCCTCGACAACCAGTGAGTATCCTTTTTCGTCGCTCACATGTCCGCGTTCCAGGACTCCGTCTGGGTCCCTCAAGCTATCCTCCCTTCCCCACTTCCCCCGGTCTGCCTCGACGGCCGGTGAGTATCCTTTGTCGTCTCTCCAGTCCAGGATCTCCGCCTGTGGTCCCCTCAGGCATCCTCCGTCCCACTTCCAGAGTCTTCCTCTGACGGCCGGTGAGTATCTTTTTCGTCTCTCCCAGGTCCGCGTGTAGGACTCCGCCTGTGTCCCCTCAGGCATCATACCTTTCCTTCCTTCCCCTGGGTCTGCCTCGACGGCCGGTGAGTATCTTTTTTTTTTTTTTTTTCGTCTCTCCCAGGTCCGCGTGTCCAGGACACCGCCTGTGTCCCCTATAGGCATTCCTCCCTTCCCCACTTCTCTAGGGTTGCCCTCGACGGCCGGTGAGTATCCTTTTTCGTCTCCCCCGGTCGCGTGTCCAGGAGTCGCCTGTGTCCCCTTCAAAAAAGGGAAGTACAGTCTAGGGGCGAGATACAAACCAAACTCAAGGAAAAAGATCTTGGGGGAGTTAACCCCAAACACATTCCTGAGCGCACATCAACAATAACGCTGCAGCATAGGGGCGCCTACAAACCTCAAACAGCTTTCCCCGACTTTTTAATAAGGAATCTTTCGGGAAACCCTGAAACACCGTGTATGTTAGGCCCATATTGGAGTATGCGGCACCAGTTTGGAACCCACACCTAGCCAAGCACGTGAAGAAACTAGAGAAAGTGCAAAGGTTTGCAACAAGACTAGTCCCAGAGCTAAGAGGTATGTCCTACGAGGAGAGGTTAAGGGAAATCAACCTGACGACACTGGAGGACAGGAGAGATAGGTGGGACATGATAACGACATACAAAATACTGAGAGGAATTGACAAGGTGGACAAAGACAGGATGTTCCACAGATTGGAGACAGTAACCGGGGGAAACACAGTTGGAAGCTGAAGACACAGATGAATCACAGGGATTTTAGGAAGTTTTTTCTTCAGCCACAGAGAAGTCAGTAAGTGGAATAGTTTGGGAAGCGATGTTAGTGGAGGCAGGATCCATACATAGCTTTAAGCAGAGGTATGATAAAGCTCACGGTCAGGGAGAGTGACCTAGTAGCGATCAGTGAAGAGGCGGGGCCAGGAGCTCGGACTCGACCCCCCGCAACCTCAACTAGGTGAGTACAACTAGGTGAGTACACACGCACACACACACACACACACACACGCACACGCACACACACACACGCACACACAACACACACACACACACACACACACACAAAACACACACACACACCACACACGCACACACACTCACACACGCACACACACACACACGCACACAAAACACACACACAACACACACACACGCACACACACACACACAAACAACACACACACACACACATACACAAACACACACACCACACACAAAACACATACACACACACACACACACACACCCCACACCCCTCGACCCCCGCAACCTCAACTAGGTGAGAGTACAACTAGGTGAGTACACACACACACACATACACACACACACACACACACACACACACACACACACACACACACACACACACACACACACACACACACACGCTCTCCCTTATGGTTGTTAAAATTTTGATTGTTTTCTCATATTAAAATCGAGAAGTTTGAGGCAGAAAAATGAGACTTGCTCAAAGTTCCAGAAACCAGGAACTTTATATATATTTCTATATTCTGATGGAGAATATTGATTTTTGACATTTTGAAGACATTTTGAAGACATTTTGAAGACATTCATTTTGAAAGGTGTGGAAAGTGTCTAGTTTGAGGCACTTTTGGGTAAAGTAAAGAAGACAATCATGAATTATCTTATGGAAGATAAAGTTTAACTACAAAACTTGATTAAAAAAACTGGGAAGTTTTTTTTCTTTCTAAAAATTTTCATTCTCTAACTTTTAACTTCTTCATGTTTTAAAGTAAAGTAATAGTGTCGACTGGTCAGTACGACTTTTTCGTGCACATGTTCAGTACGACTTTCCTGTACACTGGTCAGTACGGGCTCTCCTGCACCATGGTCAGTACGATCTCTGAACAGTTTAGTACGGCTCTCCTGTACACTGGTCAGTACGACTCTCCTGCACACTGGTCAGTACGACTTCTCCGCACACTGGTCAGTACGACTCTCTGTATTATACCT